GAGGGTCCCTGCATCCCAGGAGAGTCCCCCCATCTTCGGAGGGTCCCTGCATCCCAGGAGGGTTCCCCCATCTTTGGAGGGTCCCTGCATCCTAGGAGAGTCCCCCCATCTTCAGAGGGTCCCTGCATCCCAGGAGGGTTCCCCATCTTCAGAGGGTCCCTGCATACCTTCGGAGGGTCCCTGCATCCCAGGAGGGTTCCCCCATCTTTGGAGGGTCCCTGCATCCTAGGAGAGTCCCCCCATCTTCAGAGGGTCCCTGCATCCCAGGAGGGTTCCCCATCTTCAGAGGGTCCCTGCATACCTGGAGGGTCCCTGCATCCCAGGAGGGTCCCCATCTTTGGAGGGTCCCTGCATTCCTGGAGGGTCCCACATCTTTGGAGGGCCCCTGCATACCTGGAGGGTCCCTGCATCTCAGGAGGGTCCCCCATCTTCGGAGGCCCCCTTCATACCTGGAGGACCTCTGTATCTGGGAAAGATCCCCCATCCTGGGAGGCTCCCCACATCCTGGGAGGGCCCCCGAAACCCCAGAGGGCCCCTGGAGCACCCTCACCCCATGCAGGCGCCCATGTAGGGGTGGGCCGAGCCTCTCCCTTCTCAGTGTCCTGCCTCCACAGGACATCGGGCTCGCGTCCTTGGGGGCTTCTGACGAGGAAATCGAGAAGCTGTCCACGGTGGGTGCCTTCCCCTGCAGGGCCTTGGGGGGCGTGCTCGGGACACCTGGGTTCAGGCCGGAGGGGCCCCCATCTGGGCTGAGGTCCCCTCTCTGTCCAGGGACTGTTACCTTTACGCTGTGATTCCCAGGGCCGGCCGGGCTCTGCCGGGGTTGGAGGTGGGGCGGGGCTGAGCGTCGGGGGCTGGCGGGGCCGCGGCTGTGGGCACCAATGCAGTGCTGTCCCCCCAGCTGTACTGGTTTACGGTGGAGTTCGGGCTGTGTAAGCAGAATGGCGAGGTGAAGGCCTACGGCGCTGGGCTACTGTCCTCCTACGGGGAGCTCCTGGTGAGGCCCGCCCCTGCCGTGGCCCCCGGCCGGGAGGGTGCTCACACCGGGGCTCCCGGGGAGGTGGGAGCAGGGGATGACCGAGGAAGCTCGCCCTGCGCCCGTCCTAGCCGCACAGTCCCCAGGCCTCTAGAGGACCCCTGCAGGGAGGGTGTGGAGTCAGGATGCAGCACTCGGGGTGTGGGGGTCCTGTGACTTATGGCCTCCTCCCAGCACTCCCTGTCTGAGGAGCCCGAGATCCGGGCCTTCGACCCCGACGCTGCAGCCGTGCAGCCCTACCAGGACCAGACCTACCAGTCCGTGTACTTTGTGTCTGAAAGTTTCAGCGACGCCAAGGACAAGCTCAGGTGGGCCAGGGCTCCCAGGGCTGAGACTCCCCCCACCACACCCCCAGACTGGGCTAGCCTGCAAGCAGGGCCTGGTGTGCACACCCCTCCCACCGCTGGCCCCCCAAAAGTCCCGGGGGGGTGGAGGGGGGAGAGCTGCCGGACTGGTGGCCAGGTCAAGGCCAGGCTTCAGGAGGCAGAGTTTGACCTTTATAAGAAGGATGTGTGGGGCCCTTCCCAGCCTCCTGCCTGCTGAACAGCTGGGGCCATGGGGTGGGACAGAGGGGCAGGGGTGGCTGAGGGTGGGTGGGGGAACCCCAGGGGGCCTGGGGGGGCAAGGAGCCTCCAGGGCCGGGGGCTGAGGGTGCGTGACCAGTGGTGTCTGGGAGAGGGGGCAAAGCCTGACGCATCCCACCTGCTCATCCTCAGAAAGAGTCTTGTTTTCCAGCTAAGGGAAACCGAGGCCCAGGGGCTGTGTGTGCAGAGTGGAGGTGCGGGAGGGCCAGATCCCACAAGCAAGTGTGGGGACAGGAACAGACCTGGGGCTCTCTGGGGCACATAGCCCAGGAAGGCCTCCTGGAGGGGTGGGGTGGGATGGGGGTCCAGCCGAGGCCCTCTTGGGAAAGGCCTGTCCTTCCCCTGCCCCCCACCCTTGAAGCAGGCCTCGATCCCCCATCTTGTCCAGTTGGTCGGTCGCAAGAAGCTTTTGGGGCCTGGGCTTGCCCTGCACTGATGATGTGCCCCCTCTCCTGGGGGCCGCAGACTCTGCCCCAAGCTGCCCCTGCTGCTCCTCCCCACCTCCCCAGTGGCCCCCGTGTCCCCACCAGGTGACCGCGGGTCCATACGCCCTCCCCTCCCTAGGAACTACGCTTCCCGCATCCAACGCCCCTTCTCTGTGAAGTTTGACCCGTATACCCTGGCCATCGACGTGCTGGACAGTCCCCACGCGATCCGGCGCTCCCTGGAGGGCGTCCAGGATGAGCTGCACACCCTCACCCATGCGCTGAGCACCATCAGCTAGGAGCCGTGGGAGGGGCCCGAGGTCTCCCCACCCCTCCCCAGCCTCCCCCCGGCCCCTGCCCACGTGAGGGGCTGGGTCACTGGGCACCCCGAGAGCCCGCCAGAGACCCTCCCTGCTGGAGGGCACCCCGTGGACCCCCACCCCACTGCTTCTCAGCTCTGCCTCTGCTGTGTCCTTGCCCCTCCCATGCTGCCCACGCCGCCCACTCACAACCTCAATAAAAGAAAGAGTCCCTCTGAGCACTTCCCTGGCCTCCTCTGTGTGCCGGCCTCAGGGCTGGGGCCCCTCACCCCCTGCTCCTAGCCTTGCTCAAAGCTTTCTCCTCTGTCTCCCACCTTCTCCGAGACCTCACCAGGCAGCCCAGGCCAGATAGGAGATGCCCTGCTCACCCCAGAGGACCAGCCTGTGCTGAGCTCCCAGCAGCTCCAGGGGGCGGAGGGGGTCCTGGCTGAGCGCATCATCCCCGTGGGGGCCGGGGGGCGGGGGCATCGGGAGCCCCGCCTGGGGCTCACAGCTCTGCGTTTGGCGGGTGTGGCTTCCAAGGCAGGGCTGCAGCCTGGGCCCTCCCCACAAGCCGGGTGTCCCCACTAGAGGACAGGGATACAGGGGCCAGCCCGTAGCAGGTGCAGGAACGGGGCCCTGAGGCATCCTACCCGCACAGAGCAGGGCCTGGAAATTGTCCCCAAAATGTGTGCTGATGGGGAGTCCAGCTGAGCTGGTTCCCAGATAACCTCCCTGGGCCTGAGTCCCCCAGCAAGGCAGCTGCGGGCTGGATTCCGGGCTCTGTAAGCTGCCCCTCAGCTCACTCGAGGGGTCTGATATGGCCCTCCAGCTGGAGCCCCCGCATCCTCCAGGGCTGGCTCAGCCCAAGCCTGGGGGCTTCCCGGGATGTGCCTGGTTCCTCCCTTGTTGCGGGTTGAGAAATGCCCACCGGTCTCCCAGGCCCTGCTCACTCCTGGCAGCCATGCCTGCCACACACTGCCAGGGCCCTGGCATTAAGCTTTTAGTATGTCAGTCCCGGCAAACTCCTACTCATCTGTCAAGGCCCTCTGGGGCAAAAGCTTCTTCCCCAGCCCTCCCTGGTGGTCTAAGCACCTTGCCCATCCCAGGCCTCCCCTACCTGCATCCCTTCAGCCCACGAGACCCCAGTGGGGCCATTTCTGAGGGCTGTGAGCCCCACTGAGACCCTGGGGAAAGGGTGAGGGCTGGCCCCGACCCCCGAGCTCTACTGGCCTCTGGGCTCCGCCTTCTCACCGGGGTCCTGCTCCACCCAGCTTCCCCTCCTGCATGTTCCTCTCAAGAGACCCCCAGACCTTCCGTGGCTGCAGATGGCCACGGGCTGCGTGGTGGCTGTGGGGGTTGCTGCGAGGCCTAGGCGGAAGCGGCAGTGGGGAAGGCACCCCACGGGATCAGGGGCATCCACCCTGGGCCGAGCGCAGCGTGGGGGAGTTGCTGAGCTCGGAGCAGGTGGGCCAGGCCCCTGTGGTCCCCCGGTCGTGCGGGGCCACAGACCAGGACTGCCTGGGCAGAGGGTCCAGCCTGGAGACTGGGGTGCATGCTGAGGCAAGGGCGCAGGATGCCCCCACCCCTTCCTGCCCCCTTGGTCTGAGGCGACAGGAGGAGGCAGGGCTCAGCCTGTCACAGACCCTAGTGGTGTCACGGTTAGACATGGCAGGGGGAGGGGGAGAGGGTCCTGACCTCTCTCCTGGTCCTGTCCAGGGGGCTGGGGAGCACCCCAGGGGCCCAAACCATATATATGAAAGCCCAGGGAGTCGATGGTCTGAAAGGGGTCAGCATGGGGGAGCCGGGCAGGGCCTCCAGAAGCAGGGGTGGCACGGAGGGCGAACATGGGCAGGACAGAGGGTGTCTGCTGCCCCCACAGCAGAGATGAGAAGCAGGGCCTAGCCCGAGTGTCCACACAGCGGCTGGTCCCCAAGCTCGGCCCTCAGTGCAGCACCCTGGGTGCTGAGGGTCTCAGCAAGGTTGCCGTGCTGGGGTGGGGGTAGGGCTGTGAGCAGGGACGAGATGCTCCCCCACACCTCCCCCATGGCCTTGCATCATCCAAGGGGTCCGGGGGGCAGACAGGGGTCCAGGGGCCAGGCAGAAGAAGCCCCCTCCTCTGGTCCCCGGCTCCCCTGGACTAATGTGGAAAATGTGGCTCAGGCAAGGCCCTGGGGGGTGGGGGCTCTGCTCCCGTGGAGACATTTTCCCCCAGCTGTGAGTGGCCATCAGGCCCCTCGTTAAGACTCTAATGACCCGCAGGTGCTGACGACCAAGGAGCCGTTCCCGCAGACCCAGCACTGGGGAAATGATCCAGAAATTGCAGCCTCAGCCCCTCAGCCATCTGCCACCCCCGCTAGGGGCCCTAATGGGGTGGGCAGTGGGATCAGGAGCTATAAAGCTAGGAGGGCCCCGCAGCACCCAGCCCCCCGGGACCAGCTGCACCCTGACACGGACGGCTAGCAGGTGTGTCCCCGTGGGCTCCTCGTCAGCCTGGGGCTGCCCTGCTGAGGAGTCCGGGGTGTCTGGGCCCCCGGAGGACAAGAGCTCCTACCTCAGAGCATTTGGGGGCTGAGCACAGGGTGGGGTTCCTGGGTGGGGCACATGACCCTTCCAGCCTCAACCCCCTCTGTGCCCCAGGTGCCCGTCCCCCGCCATGGCCCTCTGGACGCACCTCCTGCCCCTGCTGGCTTTGCTGGCCCTCTGGGCACCGGCCCCAAGCCGAGCCTTCGTTAACCAGCACCTGTGTGGCTCCCACCTGGTGGAGGCGCTCTACCTGGTGTGCGGAGAGCGCGGCTTCTTCTACACGCCCAAGGCCCGGCGCGAGGTGGAGGACCCGCAGGGTGAGCCCCCACGGCCCCCACCCTGGCTTCCTACCTGGCACCGGGGGAAGGCGGGCAGGATCGTTAAAAAGAACAATGACATGCCCTTGGTCACGTCCTGCAAGTGACCAGCTCCCTGGTCAGTGTCGGGCAGGAGGGACGCGTGCGCAGACTCCAGCCTTGGCGCCCCCACCCCCGGGGCCTGGGAACAGGTGGCAGGGTGCATGGGCCCCGTGCCAGGCGGCAGGCACCCTGCTGTCCCGGCAGAGGCCAGCACGGGAGGGTGGGCAGGCAGGGGAGAGCGTTCTCTCCCCGACCCGCTCCCCCCTTGTTTGCTCACCCACAGCAAGGGACGTGGAGCTGGGCGGGGCGCCTGGCATGGGCGGCCTGCAGCCCCTGGCCCTGGAGGGGGCCCTGCAGAAGCGGGGCATCGTGGAACAGTGTTGCACCAGCATCTGCTCCCTCTACCAGCTGGAGAATTACTGCAACTAGGGCACCTCCCCGTGCCGGTGGCCCTGAGACTTCCGTGCCCTGCACCCCAAGCTATTCAATAAACCCTCTGAATGAGCCTTACGGGTGTTGTCTGTGCGGCATGGGGATTGAGGTGTCGGCTGGGGGGCCGGCAAGGCGACTGCCTGGGCCATCGGGGCCCTTCCAGGGACCCCCGTTCTGTTCTCTCTACACCAGCCCCTCCAAGCTTGGCCCCCGCTCACTGGGTGCCCACAGGCGAGCTCCTGCCCTGGGTCCTGCGAGGTCCCAGGGCCCCTGGCTGCTCAGGGCAGGACAGAGAAGGGCTCTGGGGGCTCTGGGGGGTCTGGGGGGCCTGAGGCACTGGCTGGGAGCAGATTCTCTTAGCTCAAAAGCCTTGAGCTCTCAGGGCCCCCAGAGCGCTTTCCAAGGAAAGAGAATGAGAACACTCCAGCAACTTCTCCCCACCTAGCCCTGCAGTGCTCTACTTTTAGAGCTATTTCTGATGGAGGCTGAGAGGGGGATGGGGTCCTGCAGGGGCAGGGGACAGAGAAGGGCCCAAGAGGCTGCCCAGGGCTGGGCCTTTCTAGTGCCTCTCCGCCACTCCTGCTCTGGGCAGGCCCAGGGCCGTCCCAGCCCCAGCCCAGATCCAGCCAGAGGAACCCACGGGTGCCCTGGAGGAATCAGTAGAAGCCACATGGCAGACTTGAGCTGAGGGACGGACTCGGACCCCATGGGCACTGGGCAGGAGTCTTGGGCCTGGCACTCAGGGGGGTCCCGGCTGTGCCATCCCAAGAACTGCAGCCCACAGGGCCCAGACTGGGTCTCCCTGCTGCCCCACGGCCCTCTCCTCCTACTCAGCAGCCCCAGACCAAGTGGTCAGTCCCAGAAGGACCTTTGGGCCTAAGGATGAGGTCACTTGGGTTCAGGCCTTCAGGGATCCTCCAGTGTGGGTCCACTGGGCACCCCGCCTAAGCCGTCACCTGGCATGCCAAAGAGCCTGGGGGTTGTCTGGGCTGGCCATGGCCTGGGAGGTCAGCGGGTGACCCTGGCAGCACAAAAGTCTGGCCAGCCGGCCACCCAAGCCAAACCAATGTGCGCCTCTCCTGAAGGCTCCGCCCGGGGCCGGGGCTGGGGATGGCTGGGCCGGGGCCCAGGCGCCCGGGCCCCCTGAGGCTGCAGACCACGCAGAGGCGGCCTCGGGGCCAGAAGTAGATCATCCTGCTGGGGCCTGGCTGTCTCGGCAGCCTCCCTGTAGCCCCCAGGTTCCCTCCTGGGCCACCCCCTCCCCACGACATCGACACCCCCAGAGACGTGGCCGTCCCCCAACTAGCTCCGCCCCTAGAGCGGGCGGCTGGACACTGGACCCGGAAGAGGAGGGGAGGAGGTGGCTGGCATCAGCGGTGAATCATCCATGGGAGCACCCAGGTGGCCCCATCTGCAGGGGTAGAGGCAGGGGCGTCCTGCAGAAGTTGAGGTAGGTAAGCACCGGGGGGCCGGCCTGGGTGCAGCTGGGACGGGGAAGTGCCCTGGAGGCAGCAGTTAGCCAAGCCCGTGTCCTGGCTGGCCTGCTGGTGGGCAAGACCCTGAAAGATGACCCAGGTGCCCCCCTCCCCCTCAGGGGCCAGCAAATTCTGTGGAGCGGGGGCAGGAGTATATGGGGCCATCTCAGCTGGTGGGACTCACGGTGCAGCTGGTCTTGGGTGGTGCTGGAGACTCGGGGGCATCATTGGAGGACTCCCGTTCATTGTGGGGGGCTCAGGAGAGGGTTCGTGTCCACTGGGGTGGGAAAGCCTGCCCACCCAGGAGACACGGGCATTGGTGCGGCCCCCCTTGGCCCCCCTGCCTGGGCCGGCGCCCATCTCCCTGTTGCCTCCTGAGACTTACTGCAGCCCTGAGACCCAGGCCCTCCTGCTGAGACCTTCCCACCAGCCTCTCGGCCCCCCATGGCTGTGTTCTTGGCAAGGTGGGTGCAGGACTCTCCAAACCCCCCACACAGACGGATCCCGGGGGCAGGGAGAAGGGGATGCCCATGGTCACCAGGGTCCCTGGTGGCAGAGGTGGGATCAGACCCAGCCTCCTGCTTGGCACCCCCCTGAGTACTGAACCCCTGAGGCCCCAGTTTCCCAGAGCCCCCGGGTCACCCCATGGAAGCCAGGCCCACAGATCTTGGCTCTGCCACGGCCTCCAGGCCCATGCTCCGCCCCTTCTGGGAATTGGGAGAACAGTCGTCCCATGTCCTCAGACCCTGCCTGCCCTTGAAACCTGGGCTTCCCTTGCCCGCGGGGCTGGCAGTGGCTCTCAGCTGCATCCAGGCCAAATGCCCCTTAGCCAGGGGCAGCGGGATGTGAAGGAGCAGACCCCTGGCCATGCTGGGTCCCCCAGCCCCCTCACCAGAGGGCCAGGGTCCCCACCCCACACACCTGCTCTCATGTCTGGTCGGTGTCCCACTGTCATGAGTGCCACGTGGGGTGGGATCTGTTGGACCCATATTCTTAATGGGGAGGCTGAGGCTGGAGCCAGGATGTGTGGCTCTCTGGTGCTTACACAGTGTGGCTGCCTCCAGGCTGGCTCCCCAGATTGCACCTGCTCCTGGCACCGATAAACTGGCACTTCCGCCTGGCCCTTGGGGCAGTATTTGCCTTGTCCTGTTGGTAAATATTTACCGTCCTCACAGTTCTCCAGGCCCGAGCAGACCCTGAGGGGCAAGGGAGGCAGATGCAGGGATGCAGGAGTGCCCCCCCACCGCCGCCCTTGGAGGGTTGGTGCCTGGGGGGCCCGGCCCAGGAGAGGGAGCGAGACCAGGAACCAGTGGCCCGAGCTCCTGGAAAGGCCCCCTGGCAGAGCCCAGGCTAAGCCCTGGCCAGCATGTGTCCTGCCAGGCTGTGAGGGGAGACACCTGTGTCCCCACCTTAGGAAGCCTGCCCTCAGACCCAGGCCTGGTCAGGCCCCCAGCGCAGGTGGCTCCCCTGAGCAGGCACCTGTCCACACCAGGCAAGGGGGCCCGGGGGGCCATTCACAGATGTGACCAGCAGAGGGCACCAAAGCCCCACTTTTGCCGCGTGTCCCTCAGCGTTGTCCAGGCCGGTGGTCTGCTCTTCGGGGTCCGTGCCTCTGAGCTCCTGCCGTGGGGCCCTCACGGGAGCTGTGGGGAGCGCTGGCTCTAGCGGCCTTGAGGCTCAGGAAGGAGACGGTCTCAGCCCCCCGGCCAAGTGGGGACCAGGCTGGACGAAAGTACCGGGTCCCCAGCATTCTGGGAAAGTCTCCAGGGAGAGCCTAAGCCCCCGCCCCCAGAGCGGCGGGGGCCTGGGACCCGGGGTGGGACACAGGCCAGCAGAGGGGCCGGTGCCCACGCCCTCTCCTGAGGGGTCTGCAGGACACTGAAGAACTGGAGGCTGCGGGCTGGGGGCCACAGGTCCGTCAGGCCAGCCGGTCCCTCGAGCGGGAAGGCTTCGGTGCGGCAGGGGCCCTGGGACCTGGGAGGCCTCAGGCAGGGTCCAGCTGGACCCCACGTCCCATGTCCACCCCTGTCCCCACCCAGTGCTGAGAGGAGAGAGGTCAGTTCCAGAAAGAACATTTTGGGGTCAGAGGTGGACAGGGGTCTGGGGAGCACAGAGATAAACAGGGTGGTGGGGGCTGGCCCTCCTCCCGCCCTCCCTCCGGCACTGTTGTTTCTGGCCTCCGCACAGGGACAGCGAGGCAGATTCCTTCGAAAGTGGACGCTGACAGGGGTGCCTCCCCATCGTCCCCCGCAGTGTGGTCAGGCTACACTGGCGCCAAGCACCACCAGCACCCCCCGCCCCTCCGGTCCTGAGCTCCCAGGTCACCTGCCAGCCCCAGCCTGCAACTGGTCAGGGGGGACCGGTCCCGACGGGCTCTGAGGCTCCACCAAGGGGTCCCTGAGGCTGCCCCCGGAAGCGGGACTCGGGTCCCTACCCCCCGAGGCACTGGGCTGAGCCATGGCATCCTGGGGGCCCTGCTGGGCCCACGGCTGGGTTGCAGCTAGAATCCGTCAGGCGGGGGGTGGACGTGGGTGCTGCTTCCCCAGCTCCCCTCACCCAGGGAGGCTCTGGATGTCCAGACCCGAGAGGCTGACCCCTGGACCAAGGTGACAGGGTCATGGGGGGCTGAGCCCGAGCCCCCATCGCCACACTCAGGGCTCCCCATCCATGAACCCATGAGGGTTAGGCCTGGCCAGGGAGGGGGGTGGGCCTCGAGGCCCCCAGCCCGGGGGTCAAAAGCCCCTGAGCTTCTGGGCCGGCCCCACCCCCTCCAGCCCCATGTGGACTCGGCTGGCTGCTGAGCCATCAGAACCTGGGGGGGAGGGGGCCCACATTCGCCGGCCTCACTCTGACCCTCTTCCCGGCCCATCTGTGTTTTTGGAAAACAGAGCCAGCGCCCCAGCAGCCCTGCCAGCTTGTGGCCATCCCCGCTGTGACTCCCAGCCCTCTCCTTTGTTCTTCAAAGGCCATCCTCCCTTCAGAACTTGGCCCAGTTCCAGCCCAGCCTCCCGTGGGGCCACCTTGCCTGCCCCCCCAACGCCCAAGGCCCAGTTGCTGAGGGACCTTGGAAAGTCTCTTCCCTCCCTAGACCTCAGGTTCTTGCTCAGTGGGCAGCAAGAACGGGGCTGGGAGGAGGTGAATTTGGGAGGCCTGGGATGAAGTTGCGGCTCTGAGCCTGGGTCTCTGGCATCCCTGACCCTCCCTGACCCACTCTGACACCCCCTGACCTTCCCTGACACTCCACGGCCCTCCCTGACCCTCTCTGGCCCTCCCTGGCCCTCTATAACACTCCCTGGCCCTCCTTGACCCTCCCTGACCCTCCGTGGTCTTCCCTGGCCCTCTTTAGCCCTCCATGGCCCTCTGTAACCCTCCTGGCCCTCCCTGGCCCTCCCTGGCCCTTCCTGGCCTTCCCTGGCCCTCCATGGCCCTCTCATGAGGTCTGACATACTCAACTCATCAAGGAGATCTTTAAGGGGCAGGGGTGGGGCAAGGGCAGAAAGGCCCTCTCCAGGCCTAGAGGATGGGTTGGTCCTTGGTTGCCCATGAGGGTGCTTTCTGGACCCCGGCCCGGCTGTGGGGAAAGGAAGTGGCAGAGAGGCCAGGCTCTGGAGGAAGGGAGAGTTGGCTGAGAAACTCCTCAGCTCTAGCCACACAGTCAGAGCTCAGAACAGAGGGCAGGCTGGGAGGCTTCCTGGAGGAGGTGTCTTATGCCCCTACACAGGCATCTCAACCTTGAGGACAAGTCCATGTCAGGCTGTTGCTGTGGGTCAGGTACAGCTCATGCCACATTCCCTGGAGCCACAGTGGCAGCTGTACTTGCACAGATGCCCCCCATACCCCTCCTCGTGGCTGGGCACAGGCTAGTCCCGACCAAAAAGAAGGGACAGGCTGAGGTCTGGAGAACATGATGGGCCGAATCCTGTGAGTGCCTCCCCTCCCCTCAAGCCTAAGCATATCAGAGCCAGCCAGAGTGTCCACCCAGGCCAGTGCCATGCTGAAGGGGGAGAGATGTTTAGCTAGGCGGGCCAGGGTGTAAGTCCCTGCTCTGCTGCTCCTGGGTGTGTGGCCTTGGGAAAGTTACTGAACATTTCTGGGGCTCAGTTTCCTCATCTCTCAGAGGGAAACCAGAGGAGGTTGTCCTTGCCTTGGTTGCTGAGAGGGCCCAGCATGGTGCACCATGTGCGTTGGGGAGCCCCCCAGGGCCTGTGCCAATCAGCAGGCCTGCCTCTCTGCGCCATCAGGTCCTTCCCTAGCAGGATGCCACTGTCATGCCAGGAAGCATCGTCCCCAGTGGGCCAGGCATGTGGGTGAAGAGTCGTGGAAGGCCAAGGCCAGGTTTAGGCTCAGCGATCTGTCCTGACTCCGCTGCTTGCTTCCCGTGTCCAGCAAGCTGTCCCTCTCTGGGGCTTGGTGGCTTTGGGACAGCCCTGTGGGTCTGGTAGTCCTCCCAAGATCATGGGCAAGAGGAAGTGGATGCGATCCCCGCCATGTGGCCCATGGGTATGTGGCGGGGGGGGGGGGTCTTGCCAAGAGGACCAGCTCCCCAAGGGAGGAGCCTCAGGGCTGAGGTCCTGGAGGGTCCCCACGGAAAAGAGGTCGGGAACGGGGCAGAGACCAGGACCAGCCAGGGCCTGCCGCTGTGCTACCAGCCACCTAGGCTGCACCCCCATATGGCGCCAGGAAAGAATGTTCTAGTGCCAACAGTGAGGGGAGTCAGGAGCAGATACACATTCACATCAGGAGAGTATAATAGTGAGTGTTTATTAGCGTTTACTTTGTACCAGACACTGATTCCAGGCCTCTGTGTCCTGGCACATGGAACTCATGAGATCAGGGGAGGTGGAGGCCCAGGGGGTGACCCACCTTGCCCACCTCCACAGGCAGAGCCAGAACGTGAACCCTGTCAGCCTCCAGGCCTCCTCCTGCCCACTGCTCCCCTCCCCTCCATCATGCCTGGCGCCCCTAGGGCCCTCGTGATGTGGCCTGGGGGCCTTCAAGCCTGTACGCAGCCCCCAGCAATCTCCCCTGGCTGGTCAGACTACCTGCTGCACAGATGCGGGGAGCTGAAGGTATCCGATGGGACAAAATCTAGCTTGTTCAGGATGGGGTTCTCTCCATTCCTGGGTTTGGTAAAGCGACCCTGTTGTTATCCAGGAGGCACTATTACTGATTTAAGGGAAACTAGGCTTTCTGAGGCAGCGGATGCACTTCTACAAGTGGCCACAAGGTGTCGGGATCGGGCCAGATTTGGAAAACCCTGCTCGCAAGAGGGCTTGGAGAACAAAATTCAGCCTACCCCTGCTCCTCCCAGGGTCTCTGCCTTGGGAAGGGGCTCCTAACATTAATATTCTTCCCAGAGCCTCCCAGTAAAAGATCTGAGTTTATTCTGATACAAATATAATACATGCCCCTCTAATTTTCAGAACACAGCGATGCTTCTGGAAGGTGTCCCAGGTTGCACCTGTGGTTTTGGGCATCTGCCTTGCCACATCCGCTAGTGTTGGGGAGTCCCCCAAGGGGGGAATTCCCCTAGGCCTCCCTCCACCACCTGTTCTGTAATGCCAGGATGGAAATGGATAAAAGTCTCCTATCTGAGCACAGAAAAGTGCAGAGCCCACCTGTACCCTGATGCTGTAGGGGGCCCCGCTCCGTAGAGACAAATATCCTTTTGCCCCCTCAGCCCGCTCCCCAGAATGCCCCAAGTTGTACAAAGACCGGTGGGCTCTTCTGCTGTAATTCTAGAAGTGGCCACCAGGTGTCAGCATGAGGCTGCTCAAGCAGCCAAGCAGAGGCAACTCCTCCGCACTTGGGATTTCTGGGGGTGCCCCAGAAGTCTCCTGAATAAATGAGGTTCTGGCTGGAACCCCAGGACGGGATGATCCTCTTCCAGGCCCAAAGGCAGTGGGGCAATGAGGTTTTTGTTATGAGGTGTCCCTGCAAGCTTGGGGGAAAGGTTTAAATTCCCAGCGAGATTTAGTTCAATGGGGCACTCCAAATTTGTCCCTTTTGTGTTCCTTCCCCCTACCTGTATCCTTTACTGGCCATGTATTCTCCCTCCACCATGGAAAAGAAATGGAATGCAGGGCTGTGGGTCCCAGCCCTCACACCCACCTCCCTGACCCAATGCCTCTAGTCCTGCCTCAGTGGTGCCATGGCTTAGCTAGTCTTCCATGGGCCCTTCCCACCCTGACCTCTATCCTCTGCTCCCCTCTCCTTGCTTAAGCACTCTGGGTTCCAAGATGCTGGTGGATTAAAATTGCCCTGCATGATTCCCTTTTGGGCCAGGCTTGAGATAGGAATCCAGATTAGAGCAGAACTCAGATTCAAGACACTGTTTCGGGGCTGGGAGCTTCCACATTTCCAGAAAATGATCTATGGGTTTGAAAGGCTACTTCCTTTTCAGCCCATTAGCTGCCTGCCTTCTCAGTTTGGTGGGCCTCCTGTGGAACCCTATGTCTGGCTTAGGGCCAGCCCTTACACTCTCCGTAGCTCCACCTGTGCCTTGGAAAATCCCAGCTAAGTCTTCCCATAAGGACCTGGCAGTAGCTCCTTGCAACATCTGGGTATCTTGCAGCAGACACAGGGGACAACACAGGATGCAAAGCCTTCAAGCCACAGAGCCCACAGCAGAGTCAGAGCCAACATGAGCAGGTGACTGCTGTACCCCAAGAACTGTGGGCTGCTTCACACTGACTCCCTTCTATGTGCCCCAGACCTGGCTCAGGACCCTTTAGCATCCCTGCATCCCTCCCTATGCAAGAGTCCAGCAAGGAGTCCCACCTGCCTTCTTCCCATAGGGTGATGTGGCTCTGGAGCATCCACATCCTTTGGGACACACCTGCTAGATCTGAGTCCCCCCTCAAGTCTATCTTCCCCACCAAAAGTCCTGTCCTCCCAACTGGATGCCCCATCCCTCCAGCTAAGGAAAGGAGTTCAGGTTAGGGCTTGAGAGAGAAAGGAACAGTGAGTGTTAAACCCCAGCATGTGCCAGTTAGCTGGGTAAGCTGGGGTGCTGGGTGCTGGGGGGTGTGGGACTGGTGGCCTTCTCCGAGGTGCACATGTCTTTGCCTCTCAGTGAATCTTTGCTCTGCTGCCTGCTCTCTCTGCAAGCTTGGAAGAAGGGTTTAAATTCCCAGCGAGATTTAGTCCAACCAGGCAGCACATCTGCCTGCCCCCCCCCCAGCTGCTGATGGCTCTGAGGCTGTACCTTGATTGGAGTTTCAGCCAGGCTCAAAGGCTGTGAACCCAACATCCCACCCTCAGTGCCTATGAGCAGGACTGGTGCTCAGAGCTGCCACCTGCCACCACACTTGTGGTGCAGGGTCCCTATCAGAAGTGATTGGTGAAGGGAGGAAACTCCCAGATGAGGCCCCTACCCCTAAAAGAAGAAATGATGTGAAGGTGCTGCACTGCAGCTGCCTTGGAAGCACTTAAAAAGAGTTTTTTCTGATCACTCTCGAACCCGGCTTCTTTCTGCATATGGCCCGTCGCCATTTTACCCGTGCCACGCCCACTGGCATACCAGGGTGTCAAGTGACTGCCAAGTGTCAATCTCAGGAGGCCCCACCCCCTCTCCACCCCTCCACATAGTCCCACCTCCTGGTGGAGTGCTTCCGGTCTGTGTCCCCGCCCACACACGCCTCTCCTTGGGGTCAGGGGGGTGGGCCAAATCTCCACCCCCTTGTGCACTGTGCCCTGGCGTGAGAAGGTGCCACAGCCAGCTGCCCAGTGGCCCAAGCACCACCGAGTTGGCGCAAAGCTACCCAATTTGGAGGGACTCGAGGAAAGGCGTGGAGGGGACGAGGAGGTGAGGGGCAAAACTAATTTCAATTGGCATTTGAGCAGGTGCTGTGCTCAGTGGTGGAGAGCCCCTCCCGCTTCTAGGGGCTATTATAATGCACACTCTAAAAGTGCCCTTCATCGTCTCTCCAGCCTCAGCCTCGTCCCCCTCCTCCTCCTCCACGTCAACCCGGCTGGAGGGTCTGGGGACCGCAGCCAGAGCACCCCCTACTTTGGCGGCGACTGCTAATATTGGCCCGACCAGTGGATCATCGGCCGGGCAGCTTCAGCAGAGAGGTTTGGGCACCAGTGACTCCCCGGTCCTCTTTATCCACCGCCCGGGAACTTCGGGGACTACGCAGCGACTAGAGTACAGGTGACTGGGCTTCCCTCCCTCTTCCTGCAGCCTCTGTGTGAGAAACACTGCATGCTGTGTTGAGGCATGGGTGGGCTGGGGGCTTGGGGCAGCTAAAAGGATCCCCATTTTCTGCAGGAGGGACAGAACCTCTGCTGTCAGAGGGAAGGCCCAGGCAAGCTATTCTAAGAATAGCCTCGACTTTGGAGGGGACAGGAAATACAAGTGGGGAGGGGGCTTATCTATAGGCTGCATAGAGGCTTTTGCAGGGAAAATAGGTTTTCCTTCACTAATCTGCCAGGCAAAGTGGGAGGGGCAGGGGTGGAGGGTAGGGCTGCTCTTCTCAGCAGGAGTGAACAGCTGTTTTTGCAAATGTAAAAGGCAAGGCTTTTCTGTGTGAGAAGTTTGCAGTTGCTGCACCTCCCCCCCCCCCGCTGCAATCCCAACCAAAGACAAACAGGAGAATGTGCAGAGGGGCCAGGGGCCGAGATTTTGGAGCAGTTTTTTTATACCATTTTAAAAGTAAAGCTTCCCCCTCTCCCCACTCCCTACACCTCCCAACCATAACCAAAGAAAACCACTAAGTAATTGGAAAGGAGATTGAGAAGGAGGACAATGAAGGGCCATACACCTTGGTACCCCCACAGCAGGACTGAAAGAGTAAAGCTAAGGCCTGCCTGGTTCTCCTGGTGCCTCTCCTGCCCACAGAACTGTGTGCTGGGGCAAGGGCAATTTCCTGGGGGTGTGCATAATTCTGCACATGAAGTTTCTTTCCCTTCCACCCGGGGGTCCCAGACTTCTCCATACAGCCAGTGTGGTGTCTGTGGTGACAGGTTTCATTTCCCAAGGAAAGCCCAGTGTCCAACCCCAAGGCCGCCATCCAGCTGATTTCTTCATACAGAACTGTGTCCTTTGGTTTATACCTGGCCCCCTCCTTGCTTCCACCCAAGGTGGGAAAGGTGGAGTGGGGGGTGTCATATAGTGTGCTGTGATCCCCCAAGGCAGGACTTTTGTGTGCAGCCCCCACCCCATGCCCAGGCAGAAGTCCACGCCAGCCAGGAAGGGGCAGCCCACCCAACAGAAGGGTCTCTTGCCTCTTCATGGGCAGGCAACTTTGCAGGCTTGGCTCCTGGGAAGCCCAGCTCTAGGTGAACTGTGGGCCACTTTCCTCTTCCCTTGTCCTTTGAAAAAGGGGGAGCTAGGCAGCCAGAGGGACAGAAAGGGGAGCTGCTGCCCAAAACCCTGGCAAGGTGACCTGCAGGCCTTCCCACTGAACAGCCAGTGGACAGGGAGGAAGGGATGGTGCTCAGGCTTGGGGGAGGTTTGTTTTAAAAGTGCTCATCTCAGGAACACCTTTGTGTTTTCCCCAGGGGCCGAAGAGTCACTGCAGAACTCCTTGAGGAGGAGGTGGATCCCAAGCCCCAAGGCCCTGCATCTCATCCAGCAGAGACCCCTGCCCAGGCTACCCCCCAGCCAGAGCCCCAGCCCCAGCCACAGCCCCAGTCACAACCCGACCCGCAGCCGGGCAGAGCTGCCCGAGAACCCAGCCGGGAGGTGAGCTGCTGCGGCCTGTGGCCCAGGTGGTCGCCGCGTGCTCAGAACTGAGGCCCGCAGCCAGCCCCAGCCCCACAGAGGTGAGTGTCTTCAGACCCCGGGGCAGGGCTGAGGTGTCCACTGGCTTCGCTCTCCAAGTGTCAGCTCCTGGCAGAGGCCTCCTTTCCTTAGGTTCACGGAGCAACCCCCCCACCAGGCCCAGGGAAGCTGGGGTGTATTCAGAGTCACACCGTGGGCATCCGTGATTCAGGGGGTCTGCTCCGCTCTGGGTGTCTGTCCCTGGGTCGCTCAGGTGTGGGCACAGCCGCTCCTTGCAGTCTGGGCTCCTCTAGGGGTCCTTGGAGGGGAGCTCCTGGCCAAAGAAGGGCAAGGGGGAGGGAGGGAGCAGCCATGGGGGGAGGGGAGGACAAAGACAAGGTGGGGACAGAATTGGAGGAAGGAGAACACAAGCGGGTGGCGGGGGAGAATTCATCAATTGGGGGGGCAGCAGGAGGCCCCCGGTAAGCTGGCTTCTGCTGGGGCACCTGAGACCCAGGTCCTCCCTGCCCTGGGCTGCTGGGCTGTGGGGCCTCACACCAGTGGCTTGACCTCTCTGTGTCCCCATTTGTCAAAGTGGGTGGCAATCGCAGACTCCTGGCTGTTCAGTTGTGAGGAGAAAGGGAGGTCATGCCCCATGGGCGGGCGGCAGAGGGACTCTTGAGTGCTGCGGCCATAGGAGCCCCAGTGTCCCGATTCCAGATTCCATTGTGTTCAGCCTGAGGGGCTTCCCGTGTGTGTGAGTGGGGGTTGGGGGGGGGACTAGAAAGGCCCTCAGGCCAGACCGCCTGGGACACTTCTGGAGCAAGCTCCATGGTAGTGGCCACACCAGTTCATGGACAAGGTACTGGGGTGGGGGCACAGGCTGAGCTGCCCTGGAGGGGTGCTCTGCTCCACGGTCCTGGGGAGCTTTGGAAGTGGGGGCAGGGTCGGTCTGTGTCCTTGTGCTGGACCCCAGAAGTGACTGAGGCCACCCTTCAGAGCCGGGGGTGGGACCCAGCAGGTGACCCCCTTCTAGGTTGGTTGGCCCATCTGAGAGACAGGCCGAGAATGTTCTTTTTAAGGTGTCTTTATTTCTGACACTACAGAAAACAATAGTGGCCTTGCCTGGGTCCTCCCCCAGCACGCCTGCTCGGCCCCTTCCCCTGCGGCCCCCACCCAGCCCCTAATGCCTACCTACTTTTGGCTTTGGTTTATGGAACAGTAGCTTGTGGCGCCTTGTGCCTTGGGTGGCTTGTGCCGTCGTTGGGTCCTGGTGGTTCCAGCTGGGTCCTTGGTCCCTCACTTCTAGCCGGGGCTGACGCTGAGCCGGCTTCCCTCCTGGAGCCCAGTGCAAGGTCTGCACCTCAGTGGCCGGTGCCCTGCGGTGGGTGAGGGAGGGGCGCTCAGGGACCCTCAGAGAACGGAGCAGAGTTTGCAGAATGCTGGGCTTGGTCCCAGGGAGCGGGAGCGGCCAGCTCCCAGTGGTGGGAGGACACCGGGAAGGAGAAAGACCGCCTGCTGGGAGCAGGGGAGTGAGGGAGCCGGGAGGCAGGCTCGAGAACAGCCGCAGGCCTGGGGCGTAAGGGCCAGGCTCTTAGGGTGAGTCCAAATTTGGGGGGGATGATTATTCTTCGTGGAGCATGGGTTTGCGGTCTGCAGGGAGGCTCGTGCTGCCGCCTGGGCTGGAGCAGGGCAGGGGGGAGGGTGGCTGGCGCTAGGGCTGAAGTTCTGCCAGCCAGGCTCTGGGCAAGAGAGACCCCAGTCGCGCAATATGCTCAGGCTACTGCAGTTCCCTTCCTACCGTGGAGCGCCGGAAGTCGGTGAGAGCCTGACGCTGTCCAGGCTGGGGGCAGTCAGTGCCTTTTTTGAGCCCTAGGGTGACCCGGATCTGCCCCTTCCAAGCCTGCCCCTTTAGCCACACTTTTGACTAAATAAGGCGAGGGTTCAGCGGGCAGCCCCACGGGGTGGGGGAGAGCGCATGTGCACCCCCCCTCCTTGCCCCCGTGGCTCAGCCTGGCACCCCAAAGTGGCCTCAGCCTTCCTACCTCCAAGGTCCAGGCAGAGGCCAGAAGGGCACGTCTCCAAGCACCGGGCAGAGGCTTCTCCAGGGCAGGCTCCTGTGTGGGCAGAAAGCAGGGGAGGGACCCACTGAGAAGCTGCTGGTGTGGTTGCCCCCCCCACCGTGCACCCCCAACCAGGGGGAAGCCCATGCTTTGGAAAGGGGCTCTCACTTCAGCACCCCTGTCCCACTCCCAGCCTGGGAAGCAGGCCTGGAGGAAAGGTGGGGAGCCCAGAGCAGAGCCACAGGGAGCCCTGTGTTTGTCCATAAGCAGAGGCCCTCCGGAGGATTTGGAATCTGCTCTGGGCTCCCAGGGACCCAGTTCCCTACCCCCAAATTCACAGGTCTCCACGCAGTGGGGAGCGACTTCAAGGCACCCAAGGCTTCTCTGCTGGAGGCCCTCTCCTCGCCCTCCCTCTGTCCCCAGGCACACCCCACACCCGCACAGGCCTGAGAGCCAGGGGCGCGGGAGGCTACAAAGCTGGTGGAGGGGGGAGGGGGCGGCGATGGGGGGGCAGGCCAGATGTTCTTGGAATGGGACACGGGGTGATTGATGCGGACTGGAATTTGAAGGGGGAACATTCCCCACGTGCCTGGGGCTCTGGGTGGAAAATGGGCTGTTTTTCATGGTGGTGGGGCGGGGGACGTCTCCCTGTCTTGCCAAAATAACGTGAAGAGTCCCGCACCTGTCCAATGGCATTAACCCCTGCCTTCCCAGAATGTCAGGCTTTGAGCCGCCCCCTTCTAACTGGGGTCCTTCTGTGGGGTGACAGTGGGGACAAGCGATGCCCGGGATCCCCACCATTTCTCTGTCCCCCAGCAATGCCTTCTTCCTGGAAGCTCCCTACCCCTCAGATGCCCCCCCAGGGTCGCTGCCCCCCACCTCAACAGTGCTCAGTTCCGAGGGGGTGACCGTGTTTGTGCCAGCAGCGCCTTGCGCCTGCGCTGCTTCAACACTGGCTTGTGAGCGATTGGGCTTTCCCAGCCGGGATAGCTAGGCTCTGCGTGAAAATTCTCCTTGAGAAAACGAAAGGAGACCCCTGGCGCCCCGGCCACCGTGCAGGGCTGCCCCCATTCCTTCTCCCCGATGTCTCTCCTCTTCTTCCCCATTCCCTCCCCTCCTTCGTGTCACCCAAACAAAACTGGTTTCGCCCCTGTGTGGGGACTGGTTAAGGCCCGAAGGGCGCTCGCGGAGCGCCTCGGCGCGCGGGGGTGGCCGTCTGGGGTGCTCCCGGGCCCCCAAGCCGAGCCGGGGACGAGCCTGCCCGCGGCGGCCGCCCGGCCGCGGCTTCGCCTAGGCTCGCAGCGCGGGAGCGCGTGGGGCGCGGCGGCGGCGGGGAGCGCGGGGCCGTCCTCGGAGGCGGCCGAGCGGGGAGCCGGGAGCCCCGGGAGCGCCGGGACGCCGCGCCCAAGTCGCTCCCTCGCGGCTCCCGGGTTCCTCCCTTCCTCCCGACGCCTGCTCGGCCGGGCTGCCGCCGCACGCGCGCTCACGGCGGCCAGAAGGCCAAAGAAAGAGCAGCGATACTCCTTCCGGGGCGCGCGCCCCGGGGAGCCCCGCGCTACCTGCCCGCGCCGCCCGCGCCCGCGGCCCCCGGGGAGGGCGCCACTGCTCCGCGCGCGAGCCCCCAGACGCGGGGGGAGCGGCGGCGGCGCGGCGCCTCCCCGGCCCCGGGAGCTCCGCCACTCCCGTGCGGCCCTCCACCTCCGGGGTCCCAGCCCACCGAGGGACCTCCCCGCTCCCACCAAACGCGGACGTAATTTTTTCTGGGATCCTCCAAATGTAAGGCTTGCTCCCAGGTCCTCCAAACACATCCAGCATTTCCCCAGGCCACAAGAATTTTCTTGGACATCAATTTCCGGGGACCTCGAGAAAAGCAAGCCCCCCGCTGGCTTCCCCAGATTCACCTAGTGGCCTGGAACCCCAGACTCATTGGGCAGGCTCTTAACAGCCGTATATACCATGCTCCAGACCCCAGCGGTTTACACACCGCCAACCCAGGATCCCCTACAATTTCAACGTTAACCCCGGGTCCTGTGGTCATGCTGACCAATTTGCCTGGCTCCCCAGAAGGAGGACAGTGTTTTTCTGGCACTTAGGCGCCGTCTCTCCAAAACAAGTGGAGCTTTTTCCCTGTGCCTCCATAATTTTGGACCTTAACTGCAGGGTCTCCCAAGCTAGTATACTTGTCCCTGTTCTGGCTCCCCCACACTGAATCCCTGTTTCCCGGGCTCACCACAGTTTAGGACGCTGCTGCGGGGTTCCACAAATTTATCGGCATCAGCCCGGGTTCCCTAAATTTTACACAAAGATTCCCAAGTCCCCCCAGTGCACGAAGCAATTTTCCCAGAACCCTCAGAGTTTGAACGTGGCTTCCTATTCCTTTCCTAAAATTGAGGCATTGCACCCAGCGCACACCAGGCCCTTTTCTCAATCCTAAATAGTCTGCGCTCTGGTTTCCTGACTTCCACAAAGTTGGGAGGATGATTTCTGACCCCCAGATCTCATTGAGCAATATTTTTTTGTTGGGGGGGGGCATGAAAATTCGGCACGTTCGTTTACAGGACTCTCCAAGCTTCCTGGCCACTAATCAGGTCCCTTACGGATTAGACACTGTCACCCAGCCCTGAAAAGCACACTGAGCAATTACTGGAGATGTGCTTCCTTGTGGCCCTGTGGGTTGGGCAGATTCCCCTGGGCACACCATGCAGGAAACAAACCCTTTGCACAAAGCCTATGTCTCCTTGTACCGGGCTCTGTTGGGTGTCCCCAGTAACCAAATATTGGGAACATGTTCTCTTCACCATAACATTTTGAGTATTAAAACATTCCCTGTGTCCCACTGGCTTACTGACAAAAATCCAGATTTTCTGAAATTCAGGCAGTGATCTCAAACCCCAGGATGACACTGGACCCTTTTCCTCATCCCTTATATTTGAACATGCTGGGCTCTCTCAAAAATCACGCATTGCCGTCCAGGCCTGAAAACACAGTCAGTACTACAC